CGTGCTCGATCGCGATGCCCGTTATCCTCTCCCCTTTATGAATAGATTCAGGGAGGACAAGTCGTGGCTCGCCTGAATCATTCAGACGGAAAATTAGCCCATCGACGATCGAGAACCTAGGGAAATCCCCAGGTTTTGCCAGGATCCCTCTCCAAGCATTGTGTTTGGAGTAGCCGTCTTTCACACTTGCGATGAAAGCTTTGTCCTCTACATGAGGACGTAGCTCTGCCAATGGCGGCAGTACATCTTCGAGGGAAAGCTCCCTCCTCCCTTGACGATCGTCAGGGGGATCGAGCACGGATGCTTCGAGATCTCGTGGCTCCTGAGCGTCTCCGATAGAGTGGGACGCGCCCAGCCGTATGCACTGCAGTCTCAACCTGTGCAGGTGTAATAATTCCCGTGCTTCCTCAGCACGCGCCAAGGGCAGATCGTCGCCCTCTTTATCAATTCGTATATCTGCGGATACGTAATCGTCGTAGTGGACATCCTCGTCTGACGAGGACTCATAGTATCGCGACAGGGCGTCAGCCACTTTGTTTGTGTGGCCTTGTACATACACGATGTCACAATTGAAACCGTGAAAGAAATTCTGCCAACGAATGTGACGCGGCGCAGTGTGATTCTTCTCTTTGAAGTAAGTAAGCGCCTTGTGGTCAGTGACCACAGTGAATTTCCGCCCACCAGTCAGCTCGTCGAGCCATTTGGTGTCACCGGAGTATCAACCTTCGGGTTTGGACTCACTGACTATCACCGGGGTATTAACCTTCGGTGAGTTACTTCCGTCACTGGAGTATCAACCTTCGGGTTGACTGCTTCATCTCTTGCTGGGTGGAAGCCATGATGCCGCAAACTTGTGGGCATTATAAACTCAACTGCACAGTATGTGCCCAATCCCGCAGCGGACCAATTCAGGTGTCACTGCCTTTTCTCATCAACAACAATGCCGTTGTTGGTTCTTTTCCTTTCCTTTTTTGATTTTTGACGGTGACTCAACCGTTACTCTAGCTTGTCATATTGACACTTGCTACTTCATCGTCGACAATGCTGTTGTCGAGAGCTGGGTACATATGTTCCAGGAGAAACTCTAAGTGGGCTTTGCCTACAAACTACTACTATAGCCTCCTGCAATGAGTGTACCCCCGCTTGCATACATTCTTTGTATGTAGAGTGTTATATTTCCTTAATATGCTTGCTTTCCCTTTCATATGCTTGTACCCTGTCTGCGATTCAATATCGCAAGGGAGGAGGATGTAAGGGATTAACCTTACTTCACTATAATTCCGATTATAGTGATATTTATATTATGTTGCATCACTATAATTCCCATTATAGTGATGTGTTTATTTCTTTATTTATTTGTGCCGAGATATGTAAATTACATATATATACCTCGGAGTAGTTGTAAAGGCCCGGTAGCCTTTTACCTCTACCCCGTTGAATATACAGCACATTAAAGCTTATATTTAGACGGACTACCTGAGGCCTGAGGCGAACGGGGGAACGGAACGTACCATCCCCAAATAGTAAGCAAACCTTTCACGGCGCTTCATTTCCTTTCTTGGTATTCCTGCTACCAAAGTCAGTGCGCCATTGAGGCGACTGCCTATAAAAGCAGTGAACAATTTTTCACTTTTGTCTCCCTCAGTTCAACAATGATTGACTGAGGTGAGACTACACTTTTACCACATGTTTGTGTTGTCACTCATGTATCTTCATATGCCCTAGCGTAAAACGCTAGGTAATTAGTTCTAATCTATTAGTTCAACAACGATTGACTGAGCGTAAATCGCTAACATCCTAATAGAGTGTGCCATTGGGACGGGGTGATTAGCACTCATTATTTTCCTACATTGTCAATCAGCTGTTTCCAATATATTCAGAATTATATTGAATAGTATTCATCCAAATTAGGTGTGCAGTTTTTTCTGTCGCTTGCTGTACATGTTCACAAGAAGAGTCCTATTCTTGATATGTTCGATACAAAAAATCACATGGTACGGAGTTAAAGACATAGCCGATCACTTCGGAGTAGGTGATCGGCTATGTCTTTAACTCCGTACCATGTGATTTTTTGTATTGAGTACAGAACGTGAGAATAACGATTTAGCGTGAGAACGTTTATTTACATTGAGTAAAAAAGCTATTATTTTGCGCGTCCACGGAGCTCCTCAGACTGGGTACGAGTCTGGTCGCAACCCATGATGAGCAACATTGCAAATATTTGCTGATCTGCAAGCAAGGTCATGGTTGCGAAGCAACCTTTCTAGTATCAACAACTGATGTGACAATATGAATCGAATTCCGCCACTGATGTGCGAATGAATTGCAAGCGACCACATGACATCTACGCCGTCGCCCAAAGGGTTTAGCGCATGCTAGAGTAGTCCCTCTTCGCAAACAGGGACACGCGGCTCGAGTAGGAATTACGTGGAGCGGTGGATTATGTAAGCAACGCCCCCGGGCAGACGCTCGTGCGAAAACCAAGAGCAGCCTTCGTTTGTAGTAACAATTTGTACCCGCGTTCAATGCGCGCTGAATTGAGAAACCGATCTCTTCCATGTTGCCGACGGCTTGCGGAGCTGGTTTAGAGCGAGATCGGAATCCACGCTCTGCGGCCGACCGAACACAGTACTTGTTGCCAACCGCGTGCTCGCTTTACATGAGGCTACCACTCCCCATTGAACGCGAGTTCTTTGCACTACCGTCAGTTCCTCCGAGCCTTCACTGGATTGATTTATTGATGAATATTCGGGCTTTTTTCAGACGCATTTGGCCAAGCAAACACCACGGTATGTCGTTCCAATAACCGTGGTTTCGTATGGCCAAGCGCGCCTCATATCCAATGTAGCCAATCCAACAAGAATGGGAGAAGATTGATGTACGTCTATGACTGCGAATCAATGTGAACAAACCCCCAGACTCTGATACGCCTTAAGCCCTTTGAACCAGGTGGAGGGCGCCACGAAAACATACCGATGGTGAGTGCTCGGCATCGTCTACTCCCTCTTTCGGTTTCGCTAACATCAGACATCTTCAGACGGTATTCCCAACGTCGAGACGTAGGTTTTGGAGTGCGCCCGCGCCCGCTTCCCATCCTGTCCTGTGCGTTGCTTAGTCACCTATCTTCAGTGCCTTCACTCAGAAACCTAATCTCACAGTCCAGACCGGCAGACCTCTGGGGCGCGAGTACGCCATCAAACCTCTGCATAAATTCTGCAATACGTCTGCTTCTCACCCCAAACATACTCTTCCTCTTCCTATATCGATCTTCTATACCACTACCTTTTAATACTTGCATCGACTCTTCGACAGCTGCTCATCGTAGCCCCACATCGCGGGCGCTGTGTACTGTACTCTTTTCCCTTGCATCCGCATCTTTGACTCCCCAACTCTTCGGGAACCTGATACCCTATCCACACTTGACTTTCTGTATCCATATCTCATCCTCCTTCCGATTCAACCTATCCATCTCTTTCTTCATTCGGCAGATTAGTCCGCAAGCATTCTTCTGTCTTTGTCTTTCTACAATATTCATTTCAAACATCCGTTTGTGATCGTGTTGACTCTAAGCTGAATGTACATGTCGAGAGGACTGCAACAAGAGCGGAATAAAGTAATGGCCAAGTCTTTGCCGTAAGGCAGGTACTTTGATGTGCCAGGGTGGGAGCGGCATCCTCCGACAGCACCCTCACGCTTTTCCGCTTTTCACTTGGTCGCGCGAATCGGTCGCGCGAATCGAAGTGTTGACACATTCACCTTACCACCCTCGCCGCTGACGTGTCTGCAAAAAAAAACGAGCTGAATTGACGCCCTACGGCTTTAACCTCGGACTCGTTATCGTTATTATGGAATTGCGGTATCGATCCAGCTCTTATATAACGCCCATTCGGCGGAAAGGATAGTAGCGCCCTAAATACATCTTACATCCCACAAACTCGGTTTAAGCACTTCCGTGCAACTTGACACGGTTTTTCCACCGCACTGGGCTTTTCCCTGCCGATCTCCACCTGCTTGCTGGCAGTTGACTTGGTTTCATGACCTCTCGGTACCGGTACCATCGTTCTACTTGGCCTCTCCAACTGCCGCGACAGATGAACGTTGCCGTGTCATGCTCCTTTGAAGTGCACGGTCCAAACACTGCTACCAGGACATCATCCACATTGATGGTTGCCTGATACACGATGCACGTGCACAATAGAACACGTCCATTGGCGCCCACTCTACGTACTTCCGCTGGTACGATCAGGATTCTTGGCGGTTGGGTTTCCAAGATATGGGCACTTTCAAGCGCGCATACGGCATGCTATTTTCAACATGCTTTTGAGCCTTCTCCCTAGAGACTCACCAATCTATGGCGCGCATTTCTATATACCTCATCTCCCGACGTGGGAGACCACTATGCTCTTGATATCAATTGTATTGGAGCTTCTTATGCGAATCGCACTCGTTTCTTCACATGTCTACTCATTCGCGAAGTTGTGCGCGCGCAGATGATTCTGCAAGTTCAGGAACTGGTATCGCGTATTCATGCTGTGCATTGTGGCGTCCTCTCCTGATGAGCAGCAGGCAGCATATAAACCATCATTTCGAGTGCACCGCATTTCTTCGTAGCATCATTTTACTATGCCTGATATTTTCGGCATAATGAGCATGTGCAATTTCAACTGATTGCTATTGACATGCACAACTCTATTGAACAGTAGTCGTTTTGGTAAATGAATGAACCGTTTGCTGCGTTGGCGAGAATCTAAACGTATGATCGGTTGTTCGAAGCTGAGGTTGGTCGCACTCAGCTTCTTGCGTTTGAGGATCCCTACTCCCATCGAACGGAAGCGTCTCCGCGCAATTGAATCACTGACCAATACGTACTCATCTACACGTGTTCCATGCGTGCCCCACACGCGGGCGCGGCCATAATTACGTTCTTGACCTTAATTGTCTGATATCCCGGCGGAACTGGGGATTCGTGTGGGGGTGGCCATTTAAAGGGGGCTCTGTCTTTCTCCGTCTCCAAGCACTCGAAGCCCCCAACTGGTTGCTGGCGAATACAACCATGGGCAACAGTTCCAGCAAACGAGTGGGTTCCTTCTCACGTCATTCAGCGGATAGATGTCGGGCTAACCATGGTATAGAAGAAGGCGGAACAAAATGCATATGAGATGAGGGATATGAGGGATTTGGATGACGTATGTTCAGATCTCTTTCCCTCAATGGGATTTATATCCTTATCGTCATTCCCTTCGCTCTCTCCGATGTGAACTTTGAAGCCTAATATTCCAGGTGGGGGCCGTCCGAACCGGACCGGACGTGGGGCCAGTGGAGGCAACCATCAGGGCAGAGGTGGTGGCCATCGGGATGGCTATAGGGGCTGGAGTCAGGGATCATCCACCCGCCGGCGCAGATACATTATACGAGGTGATGACTCAAATAAGGTATACGGTTTATCATTGTGGCTTCAACACATTTATAGTGTAAGGATCGCTAATCGCTTCTTCCCCAGTCCCGCTGTTTCGGTCAAGTCTCATACGACAAGATGGGGGTGCTGGACTCTCCCTGCTCATTCATTTACTTTGTAAGTACGTTTCTTCACGAAACTTGTTTTGTTTGTGTTCACCAATGGCTAGATGGACCTACTCCAATGGCTCGTGTCTTTATTCCATGGCAGGCCAAGACGCTGGACGGTAGTGAAGCAATCTTTGCATATACTAGTTACCTATAAAGTCATTAACGCTCCGACTTCGGACCCATTGTTGCACTGTTGCAGCACTCAACCTGTTCACTCAACCTGTTCACTCTGATTCGCCGAGAAGACACTGTAAAGGTACATCTTGCATTCCCCGAGACTGAGTTTAGTGCGTCCGCGCGTGCGATTGGGTACAATCTCTTATACATAGGACAGCAGGGAGGCACCATCAGTTGTAGATTACTTTGCCTCGTCACTCCTTGACACAATTACATCCATCATTGCTCCTACTATGCAATAGTCACTATTCAATAGCAAATCATGGGCTAATCGGATAGGACTTTCGCAGGTTCCGAGAGATCAAGCACAGATTTTGTCCATTATCTTCGACGCGCTCACTTCATCGAAGTTCACATAAGCCACTTCTCCGCCCTTCCCACCCACTGAAACTCTCCTTCCTGTCTGGATAACCTCTGAGATCGGCTCGAAATCATCCGGGAGCCAACGAAGGTATGCTAATCCATTTTCCAATGGAGTGCATAGACAATTCCGATCGAGCTTGATGGGTAAGGTTAGGTCCGGTTGATATGTCACCGCGAAAGCTTCATCCACGCATAGCATCGGGAGTTCCAACCATGTGCCAGTATTCAGGTCAACCGTGAAGGGTCCTTCAGCATCGTCTGAGACTTTCCATCCGCGCAGTCGAAGGACCAAACCATCCTTGGAGTAAGACATATGGTAGGGAGCTTGAAAACTCCACTGGCTGGATTGGGCATCCTTGGTGACTTCAGCCAAACCAACTCGTTTTGTGCATTGTCCGGAATTGATGTCCCAAATTCGTATGGACAAATCCCTCGATGCCGAAGCAAGTTTGGCATCGTCAGGGGAGAAGCATGCGCACGTAACTGAATTAGAATGTCCGCGTAATAGAATGGGGGATGAGCTGGGATCGTTTGAATCTGTTAACTGAATGATCTTGTCCTTGTCTACAGACACCATGAAACGAGCATTCGATGCAATTTCACATGGAACGCCCTTGCTCTCTTGTTCTACGGTTGTTTCTGCATCCCAAATTAGGATCGAACGATCATGCGAACCCGAAGCCAACCGGGCGCTGTTCGGGGAAAATGCCACCGCATATACACTGTTGGTATGGCTAACAAGGGTACGAGCATGAGTCCACCTTGTCCCATCAGCGCGCCACAGGGAAATGGTCGAATCCGCCGAAGCGGATGCAATCCATTTGCCGTCCGCCGAGCAGGATACGGAGTATACCGCGTCCGAGTGATTTCCAAGCACAAGTAGGTTGTCGTCTATCTCGAATATGTTCAGGATGCGTACCATGCCGTCTTTGCATGCCAGGATCACCCTTTCGTTGTCGGGATGGAAGACAAGACAGAACATTTGGCTGAACACATCTATCCGACGGACTTGTTCCCCAGATGCAGCGTCCCAGACTCGGACGGTCCCATCATACGATGCAGATGCCAAGCGTGTTCCATCCAGTGAATACACCACAGAAACCACGGCATCGGTGTGACCTTCGAGGATATGAATATTCGACCCTTCTGCGGCATCCCAAATACGAACGGTCGTGTCTCCTGATGCCGATGCGAGGCGAGTCCCGTATGAAGTGAATGCAATAGAGTTTACGCGTTTGGAATGTCCGGAAAGGCGTACGGGCTTCCCAGAACCATCGGCATTGCAAATATAGATCGCGCCATTCTCGCATGCACACCCAACTTGTGAACCATCGGGAGAAAAGGTGACATGAACGCAGTCGGAGAGCAAGTCCACCTTCGAGACTTTGATTCCAGTATTCGCATTCCATACCCAGATGCATTTGCTTCTGAAAGCGGATGCCACGTAGGTACCATCCGATGAGTAGGCCAAGGAACAAACGGGGTGTGGATGACCTTGAAGTTTTAGAAGCAGACGGCTCCACGATTCCTGAGTATTCCCGAGCGCTGTGATCATAATGGCGCTGTACAGGGAAGTAGAAGGAATTGATGAAGAGTTTGGATCGGTGAATGGGGGGGTGGAAAAGACGAGGAATGGACTTTGAACAAGCGCCTGTTTGGAACGGAGAACGAAGCGGTACATCTTGAGAATATGCAACCGAAGACCTCCCATTTCGTCATGCCCTCGCTGTGTGATGGCGTGACAGGCTCACTCAAGTAGTCAATAACAAGGGGGAAAGTGGCACGTACCATCCATTGCTCCAGCTGGTGCAGACCGTGGCATGCAGCCATTATTTCGTCCATAGCCCCCATTGCTACAACCCAGTACAGAAGCCATTGACATACGACCTGTTCAAGTGCCCCAGCAACTCCTGGATCTGCAGGACGGACTCGACAAACAAGCGAAATCCAGCTCTTACAAGCGAACGTCGCTTTCGGTGGTATTGCGCTGTCGAACAGCGCCTGAAGGTCCGGGACGTCTTCCTTCAGGCGGTGCGAGTGTTTCCCAAAGAGTCCTAGGAGAGATTTGCAATGCGAAAGGTGCTGGAGCGTCCAGAGAGCCAGATCCAGGTCAGTTGAGCTTGAAGATGTGTATCCCTTCCATTGCAGTCTAAGCAGAGTAGCGCTCATATCCTCCTCCACGCGCACCGTTTCTTTCTCAAACTAGTCCGACTGTTAGAGGCGACGTCACAATCTCGCTATTCGATACCCACCGCCCCCGAAAAAAGATTTGTGACCTCTGCGACTAGTTTGTCCATCTGGTCTTGATCCAGAATACGTTCGGATATCTTGAGGGTGCCACCCACAGAAGACAACCATGACTTCAACCTATAAGCGAAGTCTCTATGTCCTTCATTCAGAGTTTGCATCGATGGCCACGAGAGGAAATAATGACCTTGAGAAACCGTTTCGGAGTCTCCTTGCCCCAGGAACGTCACTCAACCCATGGAGATGCTCATAAAGAGTCATCTTGGATTCAGATAGTAGTCGTATCAGGGATGATTGGCGCCCGAATCGCAGCCTTGCTTCATCGAGGCTGGAACAAAGGAGGAGTTTCTACAATCACAGCGTGAGACAGAGGGAAGGTTAGAACGAGGTATACGAACGTCTTGGGCTGCCACAATCTGCGCCAGTTGGGAAATGGCCTCAACAAGGAGTTTATTGTGTGTCATAGCAGCCATGGATTCCACCTCCGTCACCAGGGTTGGCACCGGTGTAGGAAGCACTTTATAAATCTTCTCTTTGATTGCCCTGCGGCGGGCAACAGCCAACGACGGGCTATTTAGTCCCCCATCATCACTGAAACTGCCACCCAGAAACTGCACAGAAATTTCCTGAATGATGGACGTAAAGAACCAACAGTTCTCCCCTGAGAGATTGAACATTATGGACTCATGGTGGACAACGTCGAGAGTCTTTACAAGACTTTTGAGGGGGATGGGCGACGCAAATTCGATGACAGCCTCTCTCCGGACCTTCCTGCCGAGCAGATTATGAAGAACCGTAGTTATCTTTACCTTACAGACGAGACAAAAGACTGTCAATGCAACACCCGAATTCAGTTCTCAGTAGTATAAAACTCACCAGATCATTTGCTGCAATGTACAAAGCCAATATCTTGAAGAGATTCTCCGAACGTGGGCGACGGTCTAAACGGATCCAGAACTTCGTGCCTCGCTTCATGACTTCAAGTAGTAGAAAACGATGTGGAACTCGTCTCGTCGTCCTATATCGAATCATCCGAGTGACAGTTGCCGCTTCGGCCTCCTCGCTATCGTGCGTTTTCGTGCAAAAGACACCAAGGGTGTATTCCGTGTCTCCCATATGAGGGATGTTTCTTAAGATGTCTTCCTCAGTCGGACGTCGCACACTGGGGGGGCTGGAATAGTCGCTTTCATCGTCCGAACCCGAGAGACTGTCGGCCAACGATGGTACTCGTTTAAGAGGATGGTCCTGTACATTTAACTCCACCTGTTCTTGGTGCTTAAGCGGAGGCATAAATCTGTGCAAAGGAATCTGTCTTACCGTGGAATACGCGTCCTGCGATAGGAGCATTTGAGATTTTGACCGACGAAGAGATTTGGGTAGGCTCGTGCTAGAAGCGGTGCTCATATCCTGAGAGGTTTAGGAAACAGTCTTTTCGTAGGCGTCGAAATTCTGCCTTACCTCAGTTTCAAGCCAATCGATGGCAGATTCGAAGGCTGGGGACCCAAGCGGCAATTTCCTTCCCGACTCGCTACCATCCTGAACGGGAGGACGATCATATGAAGCGATTATTTGATGAATTCTTCGACGGGCATCGGCTCCCAGGTCAAGCCACCTTAAAGTCCCTGTAAGTTTGCCACTTTTATTGTCGAGACCGTACAGGTATTCTGCAACCACAGATGCAAAAAAGTAACAATTCTCCTAGCAATCCGGATGAGGTAAGATACTCAGAAGCAAGAGAATAGCACGTGCATACCGGCCAGACTTTATAAAATTTTGATGACTCCCTAAGTGCCTCAAGGACACGGAGCAAGTCCGTTAGCGAAGGTGGGTCGCGAAAAATGATTCTCGTCTTCTCGACACTCTTCGTACTACCCAACAGAGCGGCTCTTTTCCCAGAAAGACTCGCCTGTTCCGGTGATTGAGTGAATCAGAATCAAGAGAATGGCCAGTAACGATGCTCACTATGTCATTTGCTTCCAATGCACTGGATATCAGATTTCCGAGAGCGCCCACCGGCCGCGTTCTCTCGAGACGCACCCAGAATTCTTCTCCAGTGGGTTTCGCCATTCGCAGAAGTAAGAACTCGTGATGAACACCCTTCTCTTCCTTGTAAATGATCAATTCATTGACTGGAGACGAGGGAGCATCGGGAGTAGTCCCGATGTAGGAACATATATCTGCGAGTGGTGATGATAATCTTCTAGAAGAGAGAGGGATCTTTGACCAAAGAGTAGATCGCCTCGAAGCCGCGCTTGTGACCGAACGCTTAGACACGATAGATATTCTGTCACGATCGATATCTGCCATAGAAGACAAGATCGAGGGGAACCTCTAGTGTGTGTGGTTGGTTGCAAGAGACGCAAAAGGACAGGATGGACACGTGAAGTTGGGTCTGCGAGTAGCACGCAAGCTTTAGATACAAGTAAAGGCGAACGAGCTAATTGAGATTCGACCATTTCCCTACTTATGTAATTTAATGAGCTTCGCTTTTTGTGGCAAAGACGTTTCGGAACGAATGGGGAGAAAAGTCCACGCCCCTAACACAAATGAATAAAGAAAGACATGGCAAAGACCCGTTTCTTCAGCGCCTTGCGCACGCGCGATGGCATTAGCAGTACGTCACGCAGCCTACAAGGAGTCCACGGTGGGAAAGTGCTGCACAGAACCGCTCGCAAAGTGATGCATGATACAAGTTGGCTGGCTCCGGTGGATTATGTAAGCAGTGCCCTCGAGACCCAGAGCTGTAATATGCGCTGAATTGAGAAACCGATTCCTGTGATTTCCCGATGTCGCCGACGGCTTGCGGAGCTGGCTTCGAGCAAGATCGGGATCCACGCTTTGCGGCCGACCAAACACAACACTGTTGCCGACCGCGTGCTCGCTTTACATGAGGCTACCACTCCCCATTAAATGCGAGTTCTTTGCACTACCGTCAGTTCCTCCGAGCCTTCACTGGATTGATAGGCCAACATTTATTGATGGATATTCGGGCTTTTTTCAGACGCATTTGGCCAAGCAAACACCACGTATGTCGTTCCAACCGTCTCGTATGGCCAAGGCCAAGGCGCCTCATATCCAATGTAGCCAATCCAACAAGAATGGGAGAAGATTGATGTACGTCTATGACTGCGAATCAATGTGAACAAACCCCCAGACTCTGATACGCCCTAAGCCCTTTGAACCAGGTGGAGGGCGCCACGAAAATATACCGATGGTGAGTGCTCGGCATCGTTTACTCCCTCTTTCGGTTTCGCTAACATCGGACATCTTCAGACGGTATTCCCAACGTCGAGACGTAGGTTTTGGAGTGCGCCCGCGCCCACTTCCCATCCTATCCTGTGCGTCGCTTAGTCACCTACCTTCAGTGCCTTCACTCAGAAACCTAATCTCACAGTCCAGACCGGCAGACCTCTGGGGCGCGAGTACGCCATCAAACCTCTGCATAAATTCTGCAGCACGTCTGCTTCTCACCCCAAACATACTCTATATCGATCTTCTATACCACTACCTTTTAATACTTGCATCGACTCTTCGACAGCTGTTCATCGTAGCCCCACATCGCGGGCGCTGTGTACTGTACTCTTTTCCCTTGCATCCGCGTCTTTGACTCCCCAACTCTTCGGGAACCTGACACCCTATCCACACTTGACTTTCTGTATCCATATCTCATCCTCCTTCCGATTCAACCTATCCATCTCTTTCTTCATTCGGCAGATTAGTCCGCAAGCATTCTTCTGTCTTTCATTTCAAACATCCGTCTGTGATCGTGTTGACTCTAAGCTGAATGTACATGTCGAGAGGACTGCAACAAGAGCGGAATGAGGTAAGGGCCAAGTCTTTCCCGTAAGGCAGGTACTTTGGAGCGGCATCCTCCGACAGCACCCTCCGCTTTTCACTTGGTCGCGCGAATCGAAGTGTTGACACATTCACCTTACCACCCTCGCCGCTGACGTCTCTGCAAAAAAAACGAGCTGAATTGACGCCCTACGGCTTTAACCTCGGACTCGTTATCGTTATTATGGAATTGCGGTATCCATCGGTCTAGCTCTTATATAACGCCCATTCGGCGGAAAGGATAGTAGCGCCCTAAATACATCTTACATCCCACAAACTCGGTTTAAACACTTCCGTGCAACTTGACACGATTTTTCCATCGCACTAGGCTCTGCTTTGCCGATCTCCACCTGCTTGCTGGCAGTTGACTTGGTTTCATGACCTCTCGGTACCAGTATTGTCGTTCTATTTGGCCTCTCCAACTGCCGCGACAGATGAACGTTGCCGTGTCATGCTCCTTTGAAGTGCACGGTCCAAACACTGCTACCAGGACATCATCCACATTGATGGTTGCCACCCGAAGCGATACATGATGCGCGCGCACAATAGAACACAATAGGACACGTATATTGGCGACGTACTCCGCTGCTACGATCAGGATTCTTGACGGTTGGGTTTCCAAGATATAGGTACTTTCAAGCGCGCATACGGCATGCTATTTTCAACATGCTTTTGAGCCTTCTCCCTAGAGACTCACCAATCTATGGCGCGCATTTCTATATACCTCATCTCCCGACGTGGGAGACCACTATGCTCTTGATATCAATTGTATTGGAGCTTCTTATGCGAATCGCACTCGTTTCTTCACATGTCTACTCATTCGCGAAGGTTGTGCGCGCGCAGATGATTCTGCAAGTTCAGGAACTGGTATCGCGTCTTCATGCTGTGCATTGTGGCGTCCTCTCCTGATGAGCAGCAGGCAGCATATAGACCATCATTTCGAGTGCACCGCATTTCTTCGTAGTATCATTTTACTATGCCTGATATTTTCGGCATAATGAACATGGTTAGTGCTGTGCAATTTCAACTGATTGCTGTTGATACACAAAACTCTATTGAACAGTAGTCATTTTGGTAAATGATTGCTACGGCGAGAATCTAAACGTATGATCGGTTGTTCGAAGCTGAGGTTGGTCGCACTCAGCTTCTTGCGTTTGAGGATCCCTACTCCTATCGAACGGAAGCGTCTCCGCGCAATTGAATCACTGACCAGTACGTACTGATCTACACGTGTTCCATGCGTGCCCCACACGCGGGCGCGGGCGCGGCCATAATTACGTTCTTGACCTTAATTGTCTGATATCCCGGCGGAACTGGGGATTCGTGTGGGGGTGGCCATTTAAAGGGGGCCCTGTCTTTCTCCTCCGTCTCCAAGCACTCGAAGCCCCCAACTGGTTGCTGGCAAATACAACCATGGGCAACAGTTCCAGCAAACGGGTGGGTTCCTTCTCACGTCATTCAACGGATAGATGTCGGCTAACCATTGTATAGAAGAAGGCGGAACAAAATGCATATGAGATGAGGGATATGAGGGGTTTGGATGACGTATGTCTAGATCTCTTTCCCTCAGTGGGATTCATATCCTTTTCGTCATTCCCTTCGCTCACTCTGATGTGAACTTTGAAGCCTAATATTCCAGGCGGAGGCCGTCCGAACCGGACCGGACGTGGGGCCAGTGGAGGCAACCATCAGGGCAGAGGTGGTGGCCATCGGGGTGGCTATGGGGGTCGGAGTCAGGGATCATCCGCCCGCCGCAAACAATAGAGGTCCCGCGCATAGTGCGCAGATACATTATACGAGGTGATGACTCAAATAAGGTATGCGGTTTATCATTGTGGCTTCAACACATTTATAGTGTAAGGATCGCTGATCGCTTCTTCCCTAGTACTGCTGTTTCGGTCAAGTCTCATACGACAAGATGGGGGTGCTGGGCTCTCCCTGCTCATTCATTTACTTTGTAAGTACGTTTCTTCACGAAACTTGTTCTGTTTGTGTTCACCGATGGCTAGAAGGACCTACTCCAATGGCTCGTGTCTTTATTCCCTGGCAGGCCAAGACGCTGGACGGTAGTGAAGCAATCTTTGCATATACTAGTTACCTATAAAGTCATTAACGCTCCGACTTCGGACCCATTGTTACACTGTTGCAGCACTCAACCTGTTCACTCTGATTCGCCGAGAAGACACTGTAAAGGTACATCTTGCATTCCCCGAGACTTAGTTTAGTGCGTCCGCGCGTGCGATTGGGCACAGTCTCTTATACATAGGACAGCAGGGAGGCTCCATCAGTTGTAGATTACTTTGCCTCGTCACTCCTTGACACAATTACATCCATCATTGCTCTTACTATGCAATAGTCACTATTCAATAGCAAATCATGGGCTAATCGGACAGGACTTTCGCAGGTTCCGAGAGATCAAGTACAGATTTTCTCCATTATCTTCGACACGCTCACTTCATCGAAGTTCACATAAGCCACTTCTCCGCCCTTCCCACCCACTGAAACTCTCCTTCCTGTCTGGATAACCTCTGAGATAGGCTCGAAATCATCCGGAAGCCAATACAGGTATGCTAATCCATCTTCCAATGGAGTGCATAAACAGTTTCGATCGAGCTTGATGGGTAAGGTTGGATCTGGTTGATATGCCACCGCGAAAGCTTCATCTGGGCGTGGCGTCGGGAGTTCCGACCATGTGCCGGCGCTCAGATCAATCGTAAAAGGTTCTTCAGCATCGTCTGAGACTTTCCATCCGCGCAGTCGAAGGACCAAACCGTCATTGGAGTAAGACACATGGTAGGGAGCCTGAAAACTCCACTGGGTGGATTGGGTATCCTTGGCGACTTTAACCAAATCGACTCGTTGTATGCATTGTCCGGAATTGATGTCCCAAACTCGAATGGACAAATCCCTCGATGCCGAAACAAGTTTGACACCGTCAGGGGAGAAGCATGCGCACGTAACTGAATCAGAATGTCCGCGTAATAGAATGGGGGATGCGCTGAGATCGTTTGAGTCTGTTAACTGAATGATCGTGTCCTCGTTCACAGACACCCTGAAACGAGCATTCGATGCAATTCCACATGGAACGCCCTTGCTCTCTTGTTCTACGGTCGTTTCTGCATCCCAAATTAGGATCGAACGATCACGCGAACCCGAAGCCACCCTGGAGCTGTTCGGAGAAAACGCCACCGAGTACACTCTATTGGTATGACTAACAAGGGTACGAGCATGAGCCCACTCTGTCCCGTTAGCGTGCCAGAGGGAAATGGTCGAATCTGCCGAAGCGGACGCAATCCATTTGCCGTCCGCCGAACAGGATACGGAGTATACCGCGTCCGAGTGATTTTCAAGCACAAGTGGGCCGCGATCCTCCCCGAATATGTTCAAGATGCGTACCATGCCGTCTTTGCATGCCAGGACCACCCTTTTGTTGTCAGGATGGAAGACAAGACAAAACATTTGGTTGAACACATCTATCCGACCGACTTGTTGCCCAGATGCAGCGTCCCAGACTCGGACGGTCTCGTCATACGATGCAGATACCAAGCATGTTCCATCCAGTGAATACACCGCAGAACTCACAATGTTAGTGTGACCTTCGAGGGTGTGAATATTCGACCCTTCTGCGGCAGCCCAAATGCGAACGGTCGTGTCTCCTGATGCCGACGCGAGGCGAGTCCCGTATGGAGTGAATGCAATAGAGTTTACGCGTTTGGAATGACCGGAAAGGCGTTTGGGTTTCCCAGAACCATCGGCATTGCAAATATAGATCGCGCCATTCTCGCATGCACACCCAACTTGTGAACCATCGGGAGAAAAGGCGACATAAACGCAGTCGGAGAGCAAGTCCACCTTCGAGACTTTGGTTCCAGTGTTCGCATTCCACACCCAGATGCATTTGCCTCTGAAAGCCGATGCCACGTAGGTACCATCCGATGAGTAGGCCAAGGAACAAACTGGGTATGGATGACCTTGAAGTTTTAGCGGTACACGGCTCCACGATTCCTGGGTATTCCCAAGCGCTGTGATCACAACAGCGTTGTACAAGGAAGTAGAAGGAAATGATGAAGAGTTTAGATCGGTGGATGGTGGGGTGGAAAAGACGAGGAATGGGCATTGGACAAGCGCCTGTTTCGAATGGAGAACGAAGCGGTACATCTTGAGAACATGCAACCGAAGGCCTCCGAATTCGTCATGCCCTCGCTGTGTGACACGCTCATTGTAAGCAGTCAATAACAAGGGAGAAAGTGGCACGTACCATCCATTGCTCCAGCTGGTGCAGACCGCGGCATGCAGCGTCAATTTCGTCCATGACCCCCATTGCTACGATCCAGTACAAAAGCCATTGGTATACGACTTGTTCAAGCGCCCCGGCTACTCCTGGATCTGCAAGACCGACTCGACAAACAAGTGAGATCCAGCTCTTACAAGCGAACGTCGCTTTCGGTGGTATTGCGCTGTCGAACCGTGACTGAAAGTCCGGGACGTCTTTCTTCAGGCGGTGCCAGTGTTTCCCAAAAAGTTCTAGGAGAGATTTGCAATGCGAAAGGTGCTGGAGAGTCCAGAGAGCCAGATCCAGGTCAGTTGAGCTTGAAGATGTGCGTCCCTTCCACTGTAGTTTAAGCGGAGTGGCGCTCATATCCCCCTCCACGTGCACGGCTTCTTTCTCAAACTAGTCCGACTGTTAGAGGCGACACCACAATCTCGCTATTCGATACCCACCGCCCCCGAAAAAAGATTTGAAACCTCTGCGTCTAGTTTGTCCATTTGGTTTTGATCCAGAATACATTCAGATACCCAGGCGTCGCCACCCACAGAGGACACCCATGAATTCAACCTATCGGCGAGATCCCTATGTTCCCCATTCAGAGTTTGCATTGGTAGCTGAGTGAAATGGTGACCTTGAGAAACCACTTCGGAATCCCCTTGCTCCAGGAATGTCACTTAGTCTATGAAGATACTCGTAAAGAACCATCTTGGATTCAGATAGTAGTCGTATCAGGGATGATTGGCGTCCGAATCGTAGCCTTGCTTCATCGAGGCCGGAACAAAGGAGGAGTTTCTAAAATCGCAGCATGAGACAGAGAGAAGGTTAGAACGAGGTATACGAACGTCTTGGTCCTTCACAATCTGCGCCAGTTGGGAAATGGCCTCGATGAGGAGTTTATCGTGTGTCATGGCAGCCATGAATACCACCTCCGTCACTAGGGTTGGCACCAGTGTAGGAAGAACTTTATAAACTTTCTCTTTTATTGCCCTGCGGCGGCCATCAGCCAACGAAGGATTGTTTAGTTGTCCTTCTTCACTAAAATGGCCACCCAGAAATCCGACAGAAATTTCTTGAATAATCGACACAAAGAACCAACAGTTCTTCCTTGAGAGTGCGTATACTATGGATTCCTCGCGAATAACGTCGAGAGCCCTCACAAGGCGTTTGAGGGGGATGGGCAAGCAAAATTCGACGACAGCCTCTCTCTGGACTTCCTTGCCGAGTAGATGATGAAGAGCCATAGTTATCTTTACCTTGTAGACGAGACAACAGACTGTCAATCCAAGATCCAACTCCAATTCCTAGTTGTATAAAACTTACTAGATCGTTTGTTCCCATGTAGAAGAAAGGCCATATCCTCAGACGTGGGTGACGGTCCAAGCGGATCCAGAACTTTATGTCCAACTTCATGACTTCAAGTAATAGGAAACGGTGTGCGACTCGTCCTCTCGTCCCATATCGAAGCAGGCGGGTGACGGTCGCCGTTTCAGCCTCCTCGCTGTGGTGTGTCTCCGTGCAAAAGATGCCGAGGGTATATTCCGTATCTCCTCTGTGAGGGATATTTTTTATGATGTCTTCAGTCGGACGTCGCACAGAGGGCGGGCTGAAGTGATCGTTCTGGTCGTCCGAACTCAAGAGACTGTCTGCAAACGATGGTACTCGTTTAAGAGGATGATCCTGTGCATACACGTTCACCCGTTCTCAATGCAAAGGCAATATCTCTGGAAACCAAATCATCTTACCGTGGAATAGGCGGGCATTTGAGATTGTGAGTGACGAAGAGATCTGGGCAGACTCGTCCCGGAAGCGCTGCTCATATTCTGAGGGGTTGATAAGGAAATAGTCATTGCGGTGGACATTGAAATTCTACCTTACCTCGATCTCAGGCGCATCAATAGGAAATTTGGATGCCAGGGATTCGGGCGGTGATATGCTTTCCGACTCACTATCGGGATCCTGGACAGAAAGAGGATCGTATGAAGCAATTATCTGATAAATTCTTCGACGAGCATCAGCTCCAAGATCAAGCCATCTTAAAGTTCCGGTAAGTTCGGCACTTTTATCGAGACCGTATAGGTGCTCAGCCACTACAGAAGCAAAAAAGTAACAGTTTTGCTGGTAACCGAGGTGATGAGACATGTGGCAGGGGGAGATGCGTCATGAGCATACCGGCCACACTCGATAGAATTTCGATGACTCCCTAAGTGCCTCGAGGACATGGAACAAGTCTGTTAGCGAAGGTAAGACGCGAAAAATGATTCTCGTCTTCTCAACACTCTTCGTGCTCCCTAATAGAGTGTCCCTTTTCCCAGAAAGAGTCGCCTGTTCAGGATTGGGGTAAGTGGAAATCAAGGCAGTGATCAACAATGGCGCTCACCATATCGTTTGCCTCCGATTTACTAGAGATCAATTTGCTGAGAGTGCCTATTCGCGCTTTTCTCTCCAGGCGCACCCAGAATTCTTCTCCGGTAGGTTTCGCCAGCCGTAAAAGTAGGAACTCGTGCTGAACGCCATCCTCTTCTTTGTGGACAATCAGTTCCTTGATGGGAGACGACTGGGCGTCAGGAGTAGCCTCGATGTAGGAACATATGTGTGCGAGTGGTGTGGATATTGTCTTGGAAGAGCGAGGGATTTTTGGCCAGAGGATCGAAGCGACGCTTGCAATCGAACGCTTAGACACAATAGATGTTCTGTCGAGGTCAACGCTCGCCATGGAAGACAAGATCGAGGGTGCCTAACGGGTTTGTTGCAAGAGACGAGAATGGGCAGGACACGTGGGATTGGGTCTGCAAGCAGACGCACGAGCTTTAGGTGCGATACCAATTAAGGGTGGGTAGGTAATTTAGGCCCAACCTTATCGAGAACATTCACTTTATGCGGCAAAGACGCCTAAGAACGATTGTGGCGAAGGCCCAAAAATCCGCATCTCCGAACTGGTGAATGGAACATGTTGCAGAGGCATGTTTCCTTTGGCGGCCTTGCGCGCGCAACAGCAATAACACAATAGGGACTCGAATATATGCGTCACGCAGTCCTACAATGCTCCACATGAAATCGCTCACAACGAAGCAATACAACGGATTCAAATTGGCTGAGTACCTCTGTGCACCAATATCTGGGAATTGCATCGCCATGCATGCTTGTCGATGTACATCAGAGGATTTAGCTCAGATGTACATCACAGACTGCGATATGTAATGATACCAAATCGGGTATTTGCACGAATGTCCTGCTTCGTTGTCACTGGCATTGAACCGGGATTTGTCACAGGAAAGACTTGGAAAAGTTAATGCAACATATATGCTGTTTGGCCCCATGGCTTTGGCACTCTCCGGCAACCGCCGGAGCGTGTTTTCACAGGCTTGTCTTTGGGCAATCCGCCGACCTTTTACCGACCTCAGTTGCTGAATCCTATGTGAGCATGAACTGAATAAAGCTTTAATTCCGGACCCGGTCGCATCGCTTCTCGCATAGGAAACATCACCGTACCATACTATCGCATCTCTCGACTTGGTGTTGAGCACGTCCGCCCGTGCAGCTGGGCACAGTTTATCGCCGCACCAAGCTCGGCTCTTGATGACCATCTTTGTTCCACACTCCGGGTTGCCCTCCCCTCTCCGCCGTTCAGTGGCAATTCTCTTAGTTATCTTTTTCCAGCAACGTCCTTCTGCCTGGCTTCCCCAACTGCCGCGTACTTAGATCAACGTTGCCCTTTTAAAGTGCGCGTCCAAGCAGCACTGTGAAGATACTGTCCATTCAGCCCAAATTGACAATGGATACGCGTGCAATAAAATATGTTCACTCCGCGCCGCTGTTCAAGTTTTTGGGATTCAAGCGCTCTCACGAGTTTCGTCCTTAGAGATCTCCATTTTAGTATCCAAGACATCTCCGTGGCAGATCTGCCCTAGTTCCGATCAAGTGCTCTGCTAATATCCGTCCGTTCAATTGTAGTAGCATTGCAACTTTTCGGGATTCTGTTCTCCACACGTGTAGGCGCCACTTTGTGAACGTGTGCGCGCATCTGCTGCAGGGTGTGGGCAACCTCACTTGACGACGAACACTTCCATCATGTTGGGCTTACCGCTTTCCTCAGATAGCTAATTTATTGTTGGTGCCGGCCCATGACATTCAGCGCGTAGAAAGATCATGGGAATATGCGGTGCCCCGCAATTTCCACTCGGTTGCTGTGCTAATAGTAGTACCTTTATTCAAATTATTCATTTCCACTTGGTTGTGTTGCCTCTAATCCTGGGAAGTGCTCTGAGCTCCTAAGTGCACTAGCTTTTGCAATAGCAGCCATTCTCCTTGCTGCGAGATTCAGTCTGAAATGCGGCTCATCTAGTCGAAAGCTGCAATGAGCTTCGGACGTTCGATCATTGCATGTATTGCGCACGGATGTAGATCTCCGTACCTGCGCGCGCGCGAATAAATCACTAATCAATGGGCTGTGCACTTTGGGTACGTAGGCTTAGTCACGACTTCGCTTGGCCCTCTCCAGAAGCCGGAAAGTTGTGGCACTGCCCCTGCATCTTAAGTTTAAATGAGCCGAGCTCGCTCCGGTTGACGATTAGTTCAATCTCTCCCCCGTCTCTGCTTGTAAACCCTTGTGAAGCCTTCACTGGTTGTTGGTGCGTATATTCATGGGTCACCCTCTTAGCAAACTTTTCAAGGTGCATTCGTTCTCACTCTGTCCTACCACAAATGTCCGCTAACGGTTGTGTAGAAGCTTTTTAACATAAAACACCATAAATTAACGGGAAGGCCTACTTATGAAGCAAATGAAAAGGAAGATGTATGCTGAACGTCTTCCTCGCTTTCATTCATACTCTTATCGTTCCTTTCCCCTTGTTGTGATGACCGAAAGGCTTGGGTCCCAGGTGGAGGCCAGTTCAGGGGCGAGCGTTTGAACCACATCGAGAAGACTCACGTTCAGCGCAATGGTTATCTGCGTAATCATGCGCGACACAAACCTCCTGAATTCTGATCAATACAATGTATCAGATTACCGCAATCGCCTATAACACATATCTATGGTTTGTGGTCATGGCCTTGATGGCTTTGGTGTAACGCCGCTAATCACTCCTTCGCCAGTACTATATCGACCAAGTTTCGTACAACAAAATGAGAGAGCTGGACTCTGTTCATTTTTTTAGTTGGAGTGTTCCTTCACGAATCCCTTCTGTTCACCGATTGGCAGAAGGACACTCGATCAGTTTGTGCTCTTCCCTCCCTGGTGGACCAAGACGCGGGAAAGTAGCAAAGCCGGTTTTTGCATACGTCGCCTGCTTAGTTACCCTCAACCACTACACCTTGTCATTCCCTGACACACAATGCTACTACTACGCGATAGTCACTATTTTAACGTTCAATCACCAAAACTGCTGGATATCAATTCGAATATTTCGCGATGCAGCTGCCAACATAACTTTTACGACGCTGGCCTGACCACTATCTGGCTTGGCATTTGCTGCCACGGGCCAGAGCCACACGTTGAGTAAGATGAGTATTGCATACTTTAAATTGCATGTTTAGTGGGTCGTCACATTGAAGACATCAGTTAGGATTATTTGTAGCGAGCAATCTGCTGAGGGCAACTATGAATGGAGGCCGGCCGCATATGTTCGCTCGTACTTTACGCAATGGTTAATTGGCGTCCTCTCAGTCTGCGGGACTGTAAGATTAAGTTATGTAAATCGTAATGGGCCCACGGCGGTGATTGGTCCTCATGTTTTGGCATTAGGGAACAGCGTGGGCAGTTGGGGTGCCAGTATAGTTAAATGGAGATAAGACCATGTCGACAAAAAGTGAATGTTGGTCTTCTTAGTACTATAGCTTCGTGTTTGTTGCAGATGGGAGGCTAATGCAAACATGCCTCGTCATTCATGATGTGTAAAGTCGTGTGTGGTGTTGTCACCCCATCGTCAGGGATTCCCCATTAGAGTCCGTGCGGCCATTGCATCATCATGTCTTCCAAGGCCCTCCAACGCAACAGCGATACAGGAATATGCTTTTCGGAGACCATGTTCATAGGCGCCTGGGTACTCAGAATGGAGCTGGTGATAGTTGGATAATGACTCTTCACCAGCGGCAAGCGCATCCGAGTAGCGCCCGACGGATGACAACACGGATGATAGAGTGCGCAACGCCGTGGCATATAACCTTGGATGAGTAACAAGAATTGAACGGTAAAGAGAAATGGATTCTTCAATGAAGGGCACGGCCTCAGACCGATGACCAAGCCTTCTGAATGACCAACTGAGATTGTTGAGCGAATAAGCTAAATATCTGGTGGCGTGTGGTGTCGGATGAAGGGTAGCTAACTTGCGCCACAGTTTAACAGTTTCTTTAATCACCGGGAGAGTCTCGGAATGCCGTCGGAGACTTCTGAGTGTCCAGTAGAGACAGTGGAGCGATCTAGCCAAGGAAGGGGTGTATGATGTCGGGTGAACTGCAACTAGCTCGCGCCAGATTTTGACACATTCTTCTATAGCTGGGAGCGCCTCGGAATGGCGTCCGAGATTCTGAAGTGACTCATTAAGAATCAGGAGCGATTCGGCCAAACCCGATGTGGATGGTGTCAGGCGAACGGCAACTAGTTCACGCCAGAGTTTAACACTTTCCTCGATGACTGGGAGTGCGTCGGAATACTGTCCGAGGTTCGCAAGTGATAAGTTAAGAGTCTGGAGTGATCTAGCCAAAGGTAGGGTGTATGATGTCCAACTAGCTCGCGCCAGAGTTCGACACTTTCTTTGATCACCGGGAGCGCCTCGGAATACATCTCGAGATTCTTAAGTGATATAGAAAGTTTCCAGAGCGATCGAGCTAGAATTGGGGCGATAGAACGTTTCCAGAGCGATCGAACCAGAATCGGGGCGTGGAATCCGAAGTCCAAAGATGCAAGGCAACGACAGAGTGCAACGGAATCATTTGCCAGCTCATACGCCTCATGGATTCTCAAAGGAAACCCCAGATTTACCCACACCTTTCCGAGCGCTTTAGCCAAGATGCGAATGACTTTTACTGAACTGGGATCAGCCTTCAACTGAAGGAATATGAGGCTGAGTGAGAATAACAATGAACGCGACGAAGATCCATACCCTAGCCCACTCAGGGAATGATGATATACTGATGTACTCTCCCGTTCTCACGCACACTTCTACCCATTGCACTACTCGCTGATTGAGGAATGTGCGAACGGACTTCCTGAGTCCCTCCGGTGGCTCCTGGATTTGATGGAGGTGATACGCAATATGCCTACATGCATATCGGAATTGTTCAGACAAGGTTTCTTGAGGAATAGGAGCGCGTTTGGACAAATTCTTAGCCAGCCCTAAGCCTCTCATGGAGGAAAGACCATTGTTCAGGATTTCCACGAAGCGCAAGGCTACCCTCTCATTCTCCTTCTTGGCATCCACTGTAAACCGGGGAAGTCCGGGCGATTGTGAACTCGATCGGTACATGAGGAAGTCAGGGAAAGACTGGTGCAGGAAACGAACAGGGATTCGAGGATCCCCGATTCCTGAGACAAAGGGAGCGAGCTCAGCTAATGTATCTTTGACGACGGAGGACTTTAGGAGGGGCGACAGAATAGCATCCCAGGCCTCAACAGACAGTGGCCGTTGCGCGATTAGGATTGCCCCCATCGTGATCTGATAGTCATGCACAAAGTCCTCGTCCTTCCAATTGCATTTCTCCAAAATGTTCGAATACAGGTTGTCCATAATTTCTTCGGCGGAGGTCATCGGCCGGTTCGAGCTAGCATTGAGCAGTTCCCCCAGAATCTCCAGAGAGGTACCAGTGGTCTTCACGTAGCGGAACACGGTACTGATCCAAATGAACAAGCCACCTGCTCGTTCCAATATGGCTTGGACCAATTCATCGTCCTCCTTGAGGTTGTGTTTCAAACCAGGATGTGCATCTTTCAGTTCATGAAGTTGTGAACGGATGTAAATAGCACAATCATGCACGTTAGCATCATCTGAAAGACTAATGCCGAGGCGGTCGATAGGGGATTCAGGGGAGAGAAGACGATCGACAAGGTCGAACAGCCTAGAAGTGACAAAAAATTTGATGTTGGAGGGCAATTTCGGCACTTCTTTCCAAAATACGTCGACAAGACGCGGGAACGCGTGCCTGTCGCATTCGTCCAACGCATCAATGATAACTACCATGGGGCGATCGGAAGACGGTACTTTCATTCGCAGAGGTTCAGCCACCAGTTTCTCGAATTGCCTCGTGAATGGGGCATTTATGAGAGTGGGATCGGCCTGAAGAGTGGATACGACGAAGGTATGATACACGGGGTCGCGTGTTGCTAGAGAGCGAGCCATGCCACTGAACAGATGATCTGGCCGTGACTGCTCGCCTGCCCTGAAGAAAAGGCTCAACAATAATATCCCTTCTTTTGTACACTCCTCTGCGATTGAGCTTGCTATAGATGTCTTCCCGGCACCAGCAACAGCAGTCAGCAGCATGACACGTTTCTCGCTAGCCTGAATGTTTCGACACCAGGCCATGATGTGCTTGATGAGGCCTGTTCTGGTGCCGGGAAGGCATGACTCCGTTGAATCGCGGTGGGTGGTAACGGGATAAGGGAGTTTAGCGAGAATCGAGGCGCTCATATTCTGAGGTTGATTAGGAAACAGTCTCGCGGTGGATGTCGAAATCCTGTCTTACCTCAGCTTCAAACGCATCGATGAAGGATTGGAATGCCGGGGACCCAGGCCGTGATACGCCCCCTGACTCATCACCGTGGGCCTGGGCAGGATGATGGTCATATGAAGCAATTATTTGGTGAATTCTCCGGCGGGCCTCAGCTCCAAGATCAAGCCATCTCAAAGCCCCGACAAGTTCGGCACTTTCATCGAGACCGTACAGGTGCTCGGCGACTACAGATGCAAAAAAGTAACAATTTTCCTAGCAACCGAATGGTGAGACATGCGGTGAGGGGGATTTACGAGTGCCTTGCGCGTACTGGCCACAGTTCATAGAATTTCGATGACTCCCTAAGTGCTTCGAGGACACGGAACAAGTCCCTTAGCGAAGGCGCGGTGCGAAAAATGATCCTCGTCTTCTCGACACTTTTCGTGCTACCCATTAGAGTGGCTCTTTTCCCGGAGAAACTCACCTAGCCAGTGATCACGGTAAGCAGCAATCAAGACACCAAAAACAAAGCGTACTATGTCGTTTGCTTTCAATGCGCTGGATATCAAGTTCCTGAGGGCGCCCACTGGCCGTTTTCTCTCGAGGCGCACCCAGAATTCTTCTCCAGCAGGTTTCGCCAGTCGCACAAGTAAGAACTCGTGCTGAACACCCTTCTCTTCTTTGTAAATGACCAGTTCATTGATTGGAGACGACTGAGCATCGGGAGTAGTCTCGATGTAGGAACATATGTCAGCGAGTGGTGATGATAATTTTCTAGAAGAGAGAGGGATCTTTGACCAAAGAGTGGATAGCCTCGAAGCGGCGCTTGCGATCGAACGCCTAGACAGGATAGATATTCTGTCGCGGTCGATACCCGCCATGGAAGACAAGATGGAAAGGAGCCTCTAGTGGGTGGGTTTGTTTAGGCGGACAGGGGGCAGTGGGTCTGCAAGTAAACACACGAGCTTCAGGAGCGATACCAATTCAAGGCAGGTACTCAGTGAGGACCTTCACTTTAAGTGGCTTGATTAGGAAGGACTATTCTTTGCATAACATACTGTAGGATTACGACCACTAGTTCATGTCCCATGTCTCGAAGGGACCTCTCTCACCGGTTGGGTTCATGGGTATCATCCGTGGGTGGCGCCCCTAAAGTATCCGAATCTATTCTAGATCAAAACCAGATGACCTGGCTGGACAATGCGTTTAGGAATCTCTTTGAGGGAGCGGTGGGTATCGGTGGTATTATTGTCACGTTGCACCTAACGCTTGGACTAGTTTGATAAAGAAATTGTGGCGGAGACGAACGCTGCTCCGTTTCAACTGCAATGGAAGGGGCAGCAATGTTCAACCTCGGCCGACCTGGACCTTGACCTGAGTACTGACACATGGACCGAGCTCTCGGCGCCACGCTCCGACGAGGCCTGTACGCAGACCTATCAGCCAGATCCAACCTTACCCATCGTGCTCAGAAATAACTGTCTATGTGCATCATTGGAAAATGGCCTAGCGTATCTTTACTGGCTACCAGATGATTTCGAATCTATTTCGGAGGTTATACAAACAGGAAGGAGGGTTTCAGTGGGTGGTAAGGGCGGAGAGGTAGTTTATGTGAATTTTGAGGGGGTGGACGTGTCACAATTAGTGTGATAATTTTTGTACACAATCTTTCGAAACGAAGCTTTCTCGGCATGACTATTGAGAGTATATCATATATTAAGAACGCCGCATTTGAAGGATGGGTCCAAAACGTATGGCTCCCGCAGTTGGTAAGAGGGCGCAAAGAATTCTGACTGGACTGCGAATAGACTTCCGCATGAATCAGTACCTCAGCTCAGATCGATATTGTACCGATTCATGAGGGGCAGCGAGACTCTAATACCAACCTTGTTCGTGTCGATGGATTAAACAAGAGGGGCTACCAGTGGCGGACTGTTTGAGGACGCATTGTTGTCCTTGTGCTTTGGAACACCGCGTGATCCACTTCAAACACACCTCTGTTTCTGGCCGGATCCTTAACCCCGAAACTCAACTCCACTCGATTACCATTGATAAGAGGAAGAGGAAAATAATCCCTGTGGTTGCGAGAAATTCCAGGTCTCATTCTCTCATCATGGAGCTATGGGGCATTCGAGTTTCTATTCTGCTGTTGCCATCGCGCACGAAGCATTACGACCACTGGTTCATTCCCACGCTTTTCGGCCTTTGCCGAATCCCCTCGCCACAAGTTCAGCCACCTCGGGGTGGTTGAAGTTCAATGCTCTTCCTACCAGGTCACTTTGCGACTCCATCGAGAAAGGATTTATCACTGCGATGCAGCAAGCTGAGGGTAGTAGTGGTATTGAAGGGAAAGTGGACTCAGATGGGGATCAAAGTTGCGTGGAGGCTGACACTGACATATTGAAGAAGGAAACAGTGGGGATGACTGTAAAGACTCGAAGGGTGGACTATCAGTGACCAGCACTATTCCCCATCATGGGGAACATGTTGTTAAGAAGGTTGACAAGGAGAAACGTACCATTGGTGGACAACATTGTGATTTGTTCAGTGTATATAGCTAAGGCTCTGTATGGGTTGAAGAAACGGGTTTCTTCTGCCCGTTTCTTTTCGTTTCTTTCAGCAGTTTCTTTTAAGAAACTGCATGCCCTGGGGCATCCCGCACATGCTTGTAGATTCTCTGTCCTGTTTTTTTTTTAAAAGTGAATATAATAATGGCCATTGGCCGCAAGACTGGTAATACCAAAGAACATCGCACCAAGTATCAACGGAAATTTATTGCTCTGCTTATTTCTCAATGGGCGCTTTCTGCGGTGGAAGTGTACCACCATCGCTATCTTCTGAGACGGCCTTACCATGACTCACCCTATAGGGGCGAAGATTGGGTTTGTGATCTGCTAAATGGACACCCAGATCGGTTTTATGGCCAATTTGGGGTCCACAAGCATGTCTTTCGTCATCTGGTTGCGGAGCTTCGATCCCTTGGTATGAAAAATTCAAAATATCTCGCTGTTGAAGAACATGTCGCTATCTTCCTATACTCCTCTGTAACCGGACTCTCTGTAAGACTCATTGCAGAGCGCTTCCAGCACTCATTTGAAACAATTTCAACGTCAGTGTCACCTGCCATATGTCTCGACTATATGGTACAACTGATGATTCATCAGCTACTTCAAGAAAGTGCTTTACATGCTGTCATCACCTGTCATATCCGTGCATACCCGACCCCGACCCGACTTCCGGACCTCCACCCTCTTCACCTCCGGAGTCATAACCTACCGCTGCCTTTCCGATACTCACCTTCGGTCTTGGCAACACACCCCTCCTCTTACCTCTCCGACCCCTTCTCCGTCCGTTCCGATACTCATCTCGGACCAAACATCGCCCTACTCACCACCCTTCCTACAACTCCGCTCCCCCCTCACCACACCTCCACCCTCCCGTCATCCCCTACGCTTTCTCCGTCCGTTCCGATATCCACCTTCGGACCTGACTACTCTTCCTTACCTGTCCCCTCTCTCCTTCTTCCGTCACTCCTCCGCCACCCTTCCGCCAAGTTACGACCGTCCACCGCTGCTCCGTACTTCACACTCGGACACCGTTCGTACCTTACTCCGAGCCTCCGTCATAGTCCATACCTCGGACTTTGACTCCACCTCGGTCTTAGTCCATCGCATTGGTGACCTCATACTACGTGAACACCATTGCCAATATTCCTCGGACATCCAACCCCGCCTCCGTAACCTCCGTAAGCTCCGCAACCCCCGAGCTTCGCGGACCGCCTCCGGCACTCTCGCCGTTTGTAATGTATTTCTCGCAATTCCCCCTCATCCCTATTTGGACTACTGCTTCTTTCTATTCTAGCCAGTTAGTCATCACCCCCACTTCCCCTCATCCTCCTGCCCCTCTGGGCCTCGCCCACTCTACCTCCTTTCGGATGTATCACAGGTCTTGCCCTATGACCTTCGGTACCGCTCCGCTCCCTCTAACCCTTTGTTCCCGTTCGGACGTCTTCGTTCCGATTCGGTCACCCTTTGTTCTCCTTGTGCTTTTGCCCCTTCCTTATATATATATCGGCGCTTGTACATACTCGTCTGGTTTCAGTCCGAAATCGACCTGAAATGCCCCCAAGAGACTTCCTGCTCACCTACTGTGAAATTAAGGACCAAATGGACAAACAGCAATGGCACAGCGCTCCGCTTGAGTCGCTGAGGCCAAGGTCCCTCCACGCTAAGTCTCCGATTCCACTCCGGAGTCGTCCGTTTCCGCCCATCTCTAACAGTATTTCGGACTCCCCGTTGCTGTTGTCTAGTCCTGACATCGAGCACCTGGCGCCCGACTGCCTCCACCTCCTGCAGTCGACCGCACCCTCCGTCTTGGCTTCGGGTAAGCCACCCATTCCCCCACCTTCCTTCTTCCACGGTCCCTCGTCGCTTCGCAGTACACATCACCCGCTGCGTTGCTTGGGAGCCGTCTTCTATCGTACGGACCAGTCTGGTCCGTACCCTTCGACACTGTCGGACGCGTTTGACACGCATCCCGACACCACTTTTAGGTCCCTGGGAGCCGCCTTCTATCACCTTCACTCCCACACCTCGCCCCTCGTTTCCCCCCTGCCTCTCGGTCCTTCCGGACCTCCACACCCCCATCTTGGACGCCTCGTCCTTGACCTCCCCCACCTTCCGATGCACCGGCTCTTCGCTGGTCATCATCCAAGCATCGACAGGCACTGCTGGCACACCAGTACCCAGGCCTTCGACTCACCCCATCCGCTTCGCTTCGGTCTGAATCAACCTGGACGAACCTTCGTCACTCGCAGATGGTCCTTGTCCCTTAAGTTCTGGGACACCTACTGACTCGCCCAACTTCGATCCGTTGATCGACGGGTTTAAGAGCAGTTACCTAGTCTGTGCTTTGGTACAACCCAGTCTGCCATTCCGTGATCACCCCCCAGTCTCCACTTGGACTCCTTGTCCTATGGTAGACGCTTCCACCCGATTCACCGTTGCACTCCCCACTGCCTGGCATTCCATCAGTAATGCTGAGCACCCTACCCCGGGATAGCGAGCCACGCTCCGCTTCCATCCCCTCTGGCCCCATCTTCCTCCGGACCTCATCCCGTTGGTTGATACTACGTCCTCCTCTCTTCCGATGACGTTTCTACACCACCCTGGCTGACTTGGCTTGTGGTTCTGTTGTCTCATGGCATAACCTGTCTCTCCTATGCGCTCCGTTGAGCGATAGTCTTGAGCTTACCTTGTCCGGACCTCCGGAACCCACAACCCAACTCATCCACTTCCACTTACTCTTCCGTTAACCTTCGGACCTCACACCGCTGGTTGACACACACCCCCTTACCAACTTCGAAGATGTTTCATACATCGCCTTTGTCAAATGGACCTTGTCTATTGTCTAGGACACTGGTACTCTACCTCCTTGCTCCGTCGAGCGACTGGTACCGCAGTACATTACCCCAGACACACCGGACACCCCAGTTTGACCACCTCACACTCCAACCCCGACTCTACTTCGTCTCATTGCCTTCGGTCAGTGTTCCATCGTTAGGATAGCTGTCTCACCTATGTGCTCCGTTGAGCCTAGATCATGAGCAGTATTTCCGAAACACCGGACACCCCACCGCAACCTCCCCATACTCTTTCCGTCACCTCCGGACCTAGTTCCGCTGGTTGACCCGTTCCCTCCGTCCTCTCTCTCTGAGTTAGGATCCCATCTGTTGACGTTCCCATGTCTCCCCATTGGATAAGTTTGTGCTCAAGTATCTGGCTAATGTCTGCTCACCCTGAGACTCCGTTGAGTAATGGACCTGAGTAAACATTGTCTAGGTATGAGAACACTTCCTTTCCTTCCACCCTCGCCTTCCCCTGTCACCTCCGGACCTTGTTCCGATGGTTGATACCCTTTCTCTGTCTACCTCTACCCTGAGGAAGACTCCTACACCATTGGTAACCTTGTATGCTTCACCAAAGCTTGCTACCGGTTAATATCTAACCTTTGCACATGGTATGCACACATCTCTACTCCACCTACTCTCTTGCCTTCGGGCTCACCTCCGAGAGTTCTCTGGACGATCGCTACCACGATCCTCACCCTCCCACTCCTCCTTGAAAGTATTCCGGAACCCTCCGGTTACTCCACACTCCTCTCTTCCACCTCCCCTATGATGTTCCGCTTCCGCTTCCGGATGATCCGACTTTAGCCTGTAGTGTCGATT